GCACAAAACATATTGCGAAAATGAATGTCACCTCTTGGGCCCCTTTGGGAAAGTGCGCCAGTGGATCTCCTTGAATGCACTGAAGGGGGGGGGGGGGGGGGGGGGGGGGCGCAGAGCCCCGCCCCCCCCCCCTCCCCCTCCCTTCCTTCAAAGGGGAAGGGGGGGGGGGGTCTGACCCCCCCCCCCCCCCCCCCTCCCCCCTTTTCCCCCGACCCGCCCCCTTCCCCCCCCTCTCTTGAAGAAGGGAGGGGGAGGGGGGGGGTCCGGGGAAAGGTCAGGAATCCCCCCTTTTCCCCTCTTGGCGCTTGAAAGAAGGGGGGGGGGGGGGGGCGTTCGGACCTCCCCCCCGTCGCGTAGGGAGTGCGGAGTTGGGAGCAGGGGGTTGTGAGTAGTGAGTAGTGAGTTAATGCGTAGTGAGTAGTGAGTAAGTATCAGATAGTAAGTAGTGGTGGTGAGTGGCGAGTATGGAGTTGGGAGTTGGGAGTGGGGAGTTGTGAGTAGTGAATAGTAAGTGGTGTGTATTGCTAAGTGAGTAGTGACTGGCGAGTACTGGGTAGTGTATAGTGAGTAGCGAGTAGCGAGTAGTGAGTACTGAGTAGGGAGTACGGAGTAATGAGTAGTGGGTAGTGAGTAGTGGGTAGTGAGTAGTGGGTGGCGAGTAGTGATTAGTGAGTAGTGAGTAGTGGGTAGTGCGTAGTGCGTCGTGAGTTGTGAGTACTGAAGGGTGAGTCGTGAGTAGTGAGTAGTGAGTAGTGAGTAGCGAGTAGTGAGTAGTGAGTGTGAGTAGTGAGTACTGAGTACTGAGTAGTACGTAGTGAGTGTGAGTAACGAGTAGTGAGTAGTAATGAATAGAGAGTAGTGGGTAGTGGCAGTGGGAGTGAGTAGGGGGTAGCGAGTAGGGAGTAGCGAGCAGTGAGTAGTGAGGAGCGAGTAAGGCGTAGTGAGTAGTGAGTAGACAGCAGTTAGTAGTGAGTAGTGGGTGAGGCGGGGGGCGGTGAACCCCCCGAAAAGAAAAGTAAGTTGGGAAGAAGGAAGACCGAATGCGTTAGACCACTAAGCCCAGAGGGTCGATTGGATTTGGAAGGGCAAGACGAGTTACAATGGTAGTGCATTGAATGATTTTAGCACAATTTAAAATATTCAAAGCCATAGAAGAGTTAAACTTACTAACTATCGCGACGGCCTCACGGCCGGCGCCGCCGACCTTGAACGGGGACGACGACGACGCCAGCGACAGCAACGATGAGAAGGCGAGGATTCGACAAGCACAAAACATATTGCGAAAGTGAATGACGTTCACCTTTTGGGCCCCTTTGGGAAAGCGCGCCAGCGGATCTCCCTGAACACACAAAGGGGGGAGGGGGGGTGCCCAGAACCCCCCCCCCATCCCTTGCGGGGGGAGAGCCCGGACCCCCCCCCCCCCCGGCGCTGGAAGGAGGGGGGTGGGGGGGAGAGGGCGTTCGGACCTCCCCCCCGTCGTGTAGGGAGTGCTGGGTTGGGGGTAGGGAGTGGTGAGTAGTGAGTAGTGAGTTAATGCGTAGTGGGTTGAGTAGTGGATAGTGAGTGGCGAGTAGGGAGTCGGGGGTAGGGAGACGGGAGTAGTGAGTAGTGAATAGTGAGTAGTGTGTATTGATAAGTGAGTAGTGACTGGCGGGTACTGGGTAGCGAATAGTGAGTAGGGAGTACGGAGTAATGAGTAGTGGGTAGTGAGTAGTGGGTAGTGAGTAGTGGGTGGCGAGTAGTGATTAGTGAGTAGTGAGTAGTGGGTAGTGCGTAGTGCGTAGTGAGTAGTGAGTAGTGAGTAGTGAGTAGTGAGTAGTGAGTAGTGAGTAGTAAGTAGTGGGTAGCGAGTAGTGAGTAGTGAGTGTGAGTAGTGAGTACTGAGTACTGAGTAGTACGTAGTGCGGAGGGAGTAGTGAGTAGTGAGTAGTGCTGACTAGAGGGCAGTGGGTAGTGGCAGTGGGTAGTGAGTAGTGGGTAGCGAGTAGGGAGTAGCGAGTAGTGAGTAGTGAGGAGCGAGGTAGTCAGTAGTGAGTAAGTAGTGGGTCGTGATTATTGAGTAACGAGCCGGGAGTAGCGAGTAGTGAGTAGGGAGTAGGGAGTATGGAGTAGTGAGCAGTGAGTAGTAAGAAGTGGGTAGCGAATAGAAAGTAGTGAGTAGCGATTGGTGGGTAGTGAGTAGTGACTAGTGATCAGTGACTAGTGAGTTAGTTCTGACTAGTGACTAGAGACTATGTAGTGAGTAGGGAGTAGTAGGTAGTGAAGAGTCAATAGTGAGTAGCGGGGAGTGAGTAGTGAGTATTGAGTAGCGAGTATGGGAGTAGCGAGTAGTGAGTACTGAGTACTGTGCAGTCTGTATCGTCTACGGAGTAGGGAGTAGCGAATAGGGGGTAGTGAGTAGTGATTTGTGGGCGATGAGTAGTTAGTAGTGGATAGTCGGTAGTGGGTAATGAGTAGTGATTAGTGAGTAGTGAGTAGGGAGTCGTGAGTAGTGCTTAGTGGGTAGTGGGTGTTGAGTAGTGGGTAGTGAGTAGTGAGTAGTGAGTAGGGAGGAGGGAGTAGTGAGTAGCGAGTAGTGGGTGGTGGGAAATGAGTAGTGGATAGTGAGTAGTGAATCGTGAGTTGTGAATAGGGGGTAGTGAGAAGTGAGTGGCGAATAGAGAGTAGTCCGTAGTGGGTAGTGAGTAATGAGTAGTGAGTATTCTTTGGGGCTGGGGTTAGTGCATGGGGTTAGGATTAGGGGATTGGGTTCGGGTGAGGACTAGGCGTAGGGGTGGCGGAGGTCGGGTTCCGGAGTCAGGGGGCGGCGTGGCGAAAGGGGGGGAGCGGGGGGGTTCGACCCCCCCCCCCTTTTGAAAAGGGGGTGGGGTCCCCGACGACGGATCGGGGAAAGGGTGGGAGGGGGGGGGGGGGGGGGGTTCCCCGACGACGGATCGGGGAAGGGGGGGAGGGGGTGGGGGGTCCCCGACGACGGATCGGGAAGAGGGGGGGGGAGGGGGGGGTTCTACCCCCCCCCCCTTGTGGAGATCCAGCGGCGCACCCTCTCCTTTTTGGGGCGTCCTGGAGGTTTCTGAGGCCGTCTTGGAGCGATATTGACAGTTCTAGGGCTCTCTTGAAGCATGCGGCGGTACAAGTGAGCTCGAGGCGTCTTGGAGGCAAGGATTCGAAGGGTAATGTTTATCGCAGGGGTCACAACCCCCGGGAACCCCCCCCCACCCCCCACCCCCACCATCTTCAGCGCGGGACGGATCAATGGGAATGGGCTTCCCTTCGACTCGAAGACAACGTTGCTCGATCTCCTTCTGGCCGAACGGCTTGAGGAGGAGGGCTCCGGGAAAGGGGGGGGGGGACGACGAAGGCGACGACGACGACAACGATGACGACTCAAAAGGAAAAGCCTCTCACACACGCCGACCAGGTCGGCGGATTCAAAATGTTACGAAGGATTGGATGTGTTAGAAGGGTAAAACTATTCACGGTGTAGTAGGCATGCGGGTGAGAAAAGAGGGATGAGGGTGGTGCCGTCCAGACTGAGTTGGCATTCCGGGCGCTATGGTGGTCACATGGTTGTTGTTGGTGTTTGTTTGTATGTGGTGGCGCTTGCAACAGTGCGCGGCATTGTAGTTGCTACGATGTGGTGCTTGCAGGCTATGGCGGAATTATATGCTTCGTACTTCGGAATAGAGATTCATGGTTTGGGCGCCATCCGCGACGAGGGCGGGTGATGTGGATGCCATCTTCTCCACGCATGGCGTTCCAACAGCAGGAGGACAACAAGGACACATACTAGGTATAGGACAAGGAACATTATGATGGGCGCGGGGGAAGACGAGGGACGAACACGAAGGCGACAATATCGATTTCCAGAGGTCCCTGAAGGGCCGACAGACTAGATGTTTTGCCACTCTGACGCGAAAGCATTCGCAAGCCAACAAGTGTACCCCCCCCCCCCCAGAATTCCCAGAATTACATCGTCACCCGAAGGGTTGTCCAACACGTGCTCCTGCTCACTACGGGAGGTGCCTGCCTGAATGGAAGATGAGGGCCAGATGGGCCTGCCACTCACACCAGAGCTCCATTTTGACAAGGAGCCGCCGTCCATCCTTGCAGGTATTGGAAAAGTCAGGATGCTGGAGCATGAGGCCACGAAGTTGCCACTCGGAAGCCCCGTTTCGAAAAGGCACCGCCCTTCATCAGCCAGACGGTGTGCACATCTCTAGACATCCAGACCACGACATCTGAAGAAGTCTCCAGCGAGAGCACCGTCATGCCAATGCGCCGCTCTGATGCACACTCTTCGGCGTAGGAGTCTCCGGCGAGAGTAGCATCATGACAAGAGCCCGTCCTCGTCGAATTGTTGCAAGCCTCTGGGCCTCGCACGAGCGCTGCCCTGAGGTGGTTACGACATGTTTCGGCAAAGGGGCTCCGAATCTCCCCGCACGCTCGGGAGCCTCTTGGGGCGGAACGCTCGGATTTTCGATTCGTGTTCCCTCTCTGGGCCCCTCTTGGACCATCTTGGGCGGCTCTTGGGCCGTGTTTTGGGGCGCTCGTAGGCCGTCTTGGGGCTTTAGTGGAGGCCTCTTGGGCCGTCTTGGGGTGGTCCGTGGGCGGTGGGCCGTCTTGCTCGGCTGATGGGTCTGTCGAGGTCTCGCTCGGTGCCCGGTCGTGGGCGCCCCGTGCGATGGGCTGGCCTGTCGAATGCTCGCCAGGTGCGCGGTGGGTGCCCGGACGTGGGCGCCTCGCGGGCGCGCCCCGTGGCGTCGGGTTCAGTCGGGCTTGTCCCTCTACAGGAGGAATATTCGGAAATAGTCAAGAGTCTGGAGACGATGTTTCTACGATGTTTGGAATTTGATTGGGATTTGTTTCTGGTATGCTTGTTTCATTTTTCTTCCACAATCCGCCAGAAGGGGGACACGCCCGACTTAAGCGTCGGGTTGGCTTGGCCCCGGAGCCGGCCAGGGCAGGGAGAGCGGCGGCGCTCGCGCGCGCGCGCGCCCGAGGATGAGCCGGCTGCGGATGCTGGCGGGGGCGGCGGGATTCTTCCTCTCGGGGGCAACGATGAGGGTCCAGGCCTCCCAGTGTGGGGTCGGAGTAGATGGGGTCGGAGGATCGCGCCGTATCGGCGATGCATCGGCGATGCGGCTCGGTGTGGAGCCCGATGTTCTCCACGCTCATGGCGCCGATGCCTCGCCGACGTCGCCGGTGCATCGCCGATGCATCGCCGGTGCATCGCCGATGCATCGCCGATGTATCGCCGGTGCATCGCCGATGCGGCATGGTCCTCCGACCCCATCTGCTCGGACCCCATCTAGGAGGCCTCTCTAAAGGAAGGATACGCTCAGGGGGGGGGGAAGCATCGACCCCCCAGCCAACCATTCATCACCGATAGGGGCCTGATGATAAGCCCGCCCCACCCAGGAGCGCACGGATGCGCCATCGGGGGCCCATCGCCGAGCTATCGGCGGTGCATGCCGATTCAAGCTCGATGTTTCGCCCCCCCCCGAGCTGGCCCCCCACTATCGCCGCTCCCCCTCACTGTCAGGAGTCGATTTCGATCCGATCGGTCCGGTCCAGGGGTGCACGAGGGGGGCGGGCTTCTGAAACGGCGGGAGGGGTTCTGGGAAGGGCAGGGGCTTTCCTGGAAGAGTACGTATGCCTGAATGCTTCTACGAAGGCTTCTCCGAAGACAGGGGTGCTTCTAAGAAGCCACCTCCCTTCTTCGAAGCCTCCCCGCCCCCCTCGCGCCACCCCACAGGGCGCGCCGCAAATCAATATCGATTCTGACTGGCCCGATCCGATCCGATTCTGGTAGTCTGGCGGTCCGATGCGGCTCGAAGTTTTCATGACGTTGCTGCGAACCTTGACGCGGCCAAAATCAATTCGCATCAACATAGATAGTCTGGATTCCGCGCGGATTTCTGGGGTCGGCTCTGGACCCCCCTCCCTGGCGCGCGGAGCGCGCCAGGCGTGGCATCAGCACCGCACTGCACAGTCACCGACAAGGAAGCCACAGATGCACACAACATATGCTGACAGCTACGCCGACTGCGTGTCCGCTTCATCATGATGTTCAACGGGAAGCATGGGCGCCCTCGAGGGCGCGAAGTTATTCGCGCTTCGCGATTGGGCTCGGATTCCTCCTCATCCTCTTCTCCCCCGGCAGGCGGCGCGAGAGCGCGAAGTTATTCGCACTTCGCGTTTCGCGCAGCGCGAAGCGCGAAGTTGGGAGCACTTGGGATGTGACCGGTTTGATGCGGATCGCACGGCCGTTGGACATGTGCCACGTGTTCGCTGCATTTGCGGGGGGGGCCGTGCAGCAACGCCAGCCCCGATGGTGGAGGTTTTCGCAGACCCCGGCAGTGGAACCACTGATGCATCGGGCGACGAGTGTGCCAACGAAGATCCCGCCGCAGCTGCGGGCAATTCCACGGAGGGTTCGCCTCCTGAGCGGTCTCGCGCGTGGGCGGGCGACGGAAACTGCTGGGCCACCACGCAAAGTGCGCGCTCCAGGGGGCGGTCGGAGGACCGCGCTCATGGTGCTGCCAGCCGCAGTCGCGGACAGAGCGAGGTGGAAAATCATCCGCCCGCTGGTGGCGCCGTTGACGTTGCATGCCCCCCCCTTGTGCGCGAGGTCAGGGCACTGCTCGAAAACGTTCAAGGCAGTGCCGGGGCACTGCTTCGAAGCTCCATGAAAACGTCCAAAGCAATGCCAGGGCATTGCTGTGAAGCAAGTCAGCGTTTCGCTCACTTATGAAGGCTTTTGGATTATTCGGCAGGTCCCGCGCAAGACCAATTCGCGTGGAAAGGTCTACCCGGAAGAATGCGCAGTTCGACGGACGCCCCCCTCCCACACCACCAGGAATTGCGCGGCGCGGGGTTGCTGGCCAGGCGGACGATGAGTTCGACATGTTTTCGGGGCACTCCACCGTCGACACAGCGGCCACTTCCCGCTGCTAGCCTGCCCCAGAGCACTTTGACCCAGGCTGCAGCAAGTTTCGCGCGTTACAATGGATTTCGGCAGGGAATTGAAGTCACCCCCAGGGCCCCCAGGGGGGGTCCCTGGAAGCACCCCCCGGAGTCGAAATCCCTCTCTTGCCGCGCCCAGCATGGCAGGACAGCCCGACCATGTCCAGCAGGGCAAGGCAAACCAAGAGAAGGGTTTCGAGCGCTTCCCCATTGGCAGATACGTCCAGGTACTCCAATGATAAATCACAGCACGGTCGCACTCACAGATTATTTCCCCCCGCCTTCACGGCGCAACGACGCCCCGACACATTAAGCGGGCAATGTAACAGCGCCCTTCTGGCAATGCGATGGCACAACAGGAAATGATTCCCGACATGCACCTCGCGCAGGTGTTCGCGCGCATTACCGGCAAGGGTCAAAGCAATGGCGCGTTACTTCTCTCGTTTGCCTCATCCGATTTGTTTTAGCGGCGGCCACACGGTGTTGCAAAAAGCCCGCTGTGCCTCGAGCGAACGCCCCCCAGAGGCCCACGCAGAGAGTTCGCGAAACCCAAGTGGGCAATGATCTCACGGTGCCATGGCGTCCACCGCGCGGCCGCGCTCAACAGCACTCGACCCACCGTTTGCGTGATGCCAGGCGAGGAGCACCGTCAATCAGATATGTGTTTGAGCTAAGCACGCAAAGTCTTGCAGACAGCGCGATGCCTATTGGGCCAGCTCGGGACCACCTTTGACCCCCCCCCAAAGGCACGAAGAGGGCCTCGCGTGAGTCCCAGGTGGCGCCAATCTCGCGGGCGCCGAAGTGACGCCCTGGAAGTTCAGAGGAGGCCCAGAGAAGCCCCCCAGGAGCCCTCCAGGAGCCCCCGGACGTCCCCCGAGATGGCCGCAAGAGGGCCCCACAAGAGCACTGGGCGGCGTCGCTTTCAGCAGCGCTGGAAGCGATGGCCCCGCAGGGAGCTCCGCGGAGCTCTCTCGGGGCCTTCCCGCGCCCCCGCCCCCCCCCCGAGTTCCCGGGAGGGCCCTGAGAGTCTCCCACGAGGCTCCCAGGGCGCCCTCAAGGAAGCGAGAGGGCTTCCAGCAAGCTCCGATGGAGGGCACTCCCACGCGCGTTGAGCGGGCTCCTGAGAACGGGCCTCTCGGGCCCGCCGCGGCACCTGTCTGAGGCCTCGCGGAAATTCCGCGGGGGGAGGCCTCAAGAGGCCCCCGAGCGGCCCCCAAAAGACGGCCCCTGAGACGGCGCTCAGGCCGCGCACCGACAGGCTGAGATAAGCGCCCTATTCACATGCGCTCAGGGTGACATCTTGAATCTTGAAGTTCCCTCTCGGGACCCCATCTGGGACCCTGCTGCGGCCTTCCGGATGCCCCGAGGAGGCCTCGGGAGACATCGCGACATGTTTAGTAGAGGGCCTTTGAGAAATCCCCTAAAGCGCCAGAGAGCCTCAGAGGACGTTATAATTGCACGGGCGTTGAAAGCTGCTCCTGGAAGGCGTCGCCGCCGGGCCTTCTCGGGGCCCGCCCGAGGCCCCCCGAAGCGTTGGGGGGGCCTTGAGAGGGGGTCTGGAAGCCCCCGCGCAGCCCCCAAGAGGATGAGGAGGAGGAGGAGGAGGAGGAGGGGGAGGAGGAGGAGGAGGGGAAGGAGGAGGAGGAGGAGGAGGAGGGCCTGAAGAGCGCCATAGGGGGCGGCGCGCGCCCCTGGGGGCTGCGACGCCCCGCAGGGCCTCTCGGGCAGCTGGCAGGGCGGAGTGTCTCTTTTAGAGCTTCTCGCGAAGGCTTGCGGTGGGGCGATGTTCGTCTTCGACCTCACAGGGCGTTCTTTTGTTCGCTGTCGACGCTGGCGGGTGCCAGGCGGGGTGTTCGATCTCGCCTTTCGAGCGCGGCTCGGTAGTTCCGGGGGGGCGCTCCACATTGAAATCAGCATCAGCGCGACTGCGATCGACAAATGATGGGTGTTTTATCGTTTTCGACATCACACGGCGTTATGTGTTTTCGACATTCCAGGGTACAACAAGTTCATTCGTTCTCGCGTTGTTTGGCAAGGGCCCCGAATTGTTGGATCGCCGACCAGTCCCCGCGCGCGGAATCGCGATGGGGGAGGGGGGTGGCGGGGGCGGGCGGACGGGGCAGGGAGGGGGGCGATGAGGTGGACGCGGAAAAAAAGGGGCGAGGCGGAGGAGGAGCGGCATGGGGAAGGGCAGGGAAGACGAGGAGGGAAAGAATAGTGAGGATTGGCCGAGGCGGGAGGAGGACTCCCATCTCGGGGTTCCGCTGGGGCCCGCAGAGCTTCACTGGGACCCGCTTGGGCCCCCATATCCCAGGGGAGCCCTGAGAAGCCCCCAAAAGGCCCCAGGAACCCCAGGAGCGTTCTACAGAATGCCTTTAGAGTGCCGTTTTTATCAGAGCCTGCAAAGGCGACACTTCACGGGCGTCGAAAGCTACGCAGCGAGGGGCCTTCCTGAATTCTGTAGGAGAATTCCTGAAGCTCCGACGAGGCCCTTGCGCAGCGTCCTTTTCAGAGCATGCCCTGGCCGGTTCTCAGAAGCCTGGCCGCCCGCCAAAATCGGCGGAGCACTTTCGCCAAATATTTCGACGAACGCGCCCCCCAAGAGTACTCACGATACTTTCTGATAATAACTGCTCTCCAACCTGCGTCTCAACAGGTGCAGCCAGACCCTTCCCCCAAGATCTTTCGCGACATTCTTGCGCAGCCCTCTGGCGCGCCCAGATTTACAATCTGAGCGCGAGTCCCAGGGCCAGAGCGCAGCGCAGGGTCACGCATTCTGGGCACCGCGAGCGTGTGCGTTCGTTGCGAACTCGCACCTGGGGCGCAATTCTGGGCGCACCGACGCAAAGAACAGCAGAACCACAACTAAACAGCGCCAAAAACGTGTGACATCGAAATCTGCACACCTGGCGCCAGATACCGAAATCGCGCTCGAAATGATAGCCTGGCACTGCCAGCGCTGACATCAGTGGAGTCGCGCGCACCGGCAGCGCGCAGGGTCTCACCCTTGAGAGCGCGATCTGGCCGCAGAGCGCACCGATTGCACGTGTGGGCGCGCCTGCGCCCCACTGCTCGGAACCGCGCGCCAATTGCAAATCCGCGCGCTCCTGCGCCAGAATGCACGCAGCCGCTTAGAACGCAATTCTGGGCGCACCCTCGCCTGACTGCGCGACATCGCGCCCCACTTGCAAGTCTGGGCGCGCCAGCGGCACGAACGCGCACCTGCGCTGCACCTGCGACAGAATGCGCAGAATCACACACACACACACACAGAGTGCAACTTTTCGCTACAGATGCACTACTGGGCGCGCGCAGGCGCCCAGCTGCTCGACATCGCGCGCCAAGTGGGAAGCTGGGCGCACCTGCGCCAGCATGCACGAAGTCGCTCTGGAAGACATTCTGGGCGCACCTGCGCCAGATGCGCGAAAGCGCGCTCCAATTGCAGAGCCGGGCGGAACGACTGCGCACCTGCGCCAGCATGCGCAGAATGACCTCTAGAGTGCTATTCTAGGCTCTAGGCTCCGACTGCAGACCTGGGAGCACCTGCGCCCCCCTGCGCGCGAACTCGCGCGCCAATTTGCAGATCTGGGCTCCCGCGAATCAGGCACCGAGGCGCGTGAGCTGAGGAGAGGGGGTGAGGCGAGCGACCGCGGGCCTGCCCCACATGATTTTCTTGTGCCAGGAACAAGTTTACGCTATATGGGAAGTGTGAGGAAGGCAAAAACCCGGAACATATGGGAAGTGCGGGGGAGTCTTGTTATTTGTGCCTATTTATGTGTATGTCCTTGGGCCCCTTCAGATAGTGTGAACGCTCACGGCAAGACCCGCTGGGGCGAGGATGACTTCCCGCCCTGCCGCCGAGCCCCCGAGGGTCCGTTGCGAAACGGTTTTCTTCTGAAGGCGTAGGCGACGTCGCCGAGCGCGCGCGCCCGAGCAATTCTATCACGGAGTCTCAGCGCCGCGCCGTTCGAGGAACTGCGGAGCGGTGGAGGTTTCGCAAATCGCGCTGCGCCTGGGGCGCGCAGCGCTTGGCGGTCCGAACGTCGACGTTCGCGGCCCTCCGCGGCGTCTGTCCTGGCGGGAGTGCGGCCCTTTCCAGCCCCGACGTCGTTGTTTGTTACATTGCGGGGTGCTTTAGCACATGTCTACCTTGCAGGGCGCATGCCATTATATTCCCGTGCTCTCGGAGATACCATCAACCGCGCATTCATGAACCGACTGGGCATGCGCATCGCACTTGCACGGCAGCGGGCAACGCGCTACGAAGGAGGAGCTCAAAGTAATGTTGGAGACCAGTTCACGCTTCGCGCTCCTGGGGTCCAAGGTGAATCTCTTGCACGAGCTTGTGCGCGCTCAGCGATGCTGGCAACATGCGAGCGTTGGATTGCAGCCAGGATGTCGCCAGGAAGTGGGCTCGCGCTAGCCCATGGCATCCATTCGCGGCGCGGGATGGACAGGGCGAACGCGGCGGACGTGCTGCGCTGGACGCGCGGAGCGGCGCCGACGCACGGGACTTCGTCAAGGACTTGTCCCAGGACGACATCCTTTCCACGAAGGGAAGGGGCGCAGAGACAAATCCGAAGGTGATTGCGCGTTTGGACGACCAGGTTCGATGCCTCGACACGCTGGGCGTCAAAAGTGCATGTATATTGTCCCACATCGTTACCTTGGTGGTGTCGCGTGCTGTCTCTTCTCTCCTATCTTCGCCGTGTCTCCACGTCCAGCCGATGCTGCTCTTACTCGTCCCCCCCTCGCGTGGTGAGCACTGAAACGACGGACAAGTAGGCGGTTGTTTCCCGACAGACCTGCCTGAACTCAGACCGCACGGTGGCTTGATGGTGCAGAAGGCATCGTAGATTGCGCACATTCCCGAATTGTTTGGCGTCTCAACCCAGAGCACAATGAGCAGTTGTTGTGATGTTGATGTCAGTTGCAATTTAAATTCACGAACGAATTCCCCCTGCCCCTACCCATCCATCCGTCCCTCCCTTTCCCATCCCACCTAAAACGCCCAACCGTGCCAACGCTCCGGGTTGCCATTGCCGCCGCCATGGTCGTCGTGTCACTACAGCCGCCGCCGCCGTCGTTGTCGTCGCCATCGTGGTCGTCTTCCGTCGTCGTCGTCCGTCGTCGTCGTCGTCCGTCGTCGTCGTCCGTCGTCGTCGTCCGTCGTCGGCGTCGTCGGCGTCGTCATCGTCGTCCGTCGTCCGTCGTCTGTCATCCGTCGGCGTCGACGTCGGCGTCGGCGTCGTCGTCGTCGGCGTCTTCCGCCGTTCGCCGTCGCCGCCGTCGTCGCGGCCGCCACTGCCGCCTCTGCCGCCGCAGTCGAAGACCGGCGGCCCTTCGGGGCGGGGCCAGGCGGGGCGGGGGGGGTGACAGGAGTCCAGCCTGCTGCAGAGACAGCGGCACTCCGAGTCACGAAGGCTCGGCGGCGGCGTGGGTCCGCGGGGGCTGGTGTCCGTGAGGCTGCACCGAGGCTTTCGGGGGGGGGGGGGCGTCGTCGCTGGGGGGGGCCGGGGGAGGAGGAAGAGGAGGAAGGACAAGGGGGGGAGGGGAGGGGGGAGGCAGAGGGGAGAGGGTCATCGTGGGAGGGGAGAGTTCTTCCCCTTCCTCATCCTCTTCCTCCTCCTCCTTCTCCTCCACCTCCTCCACCTCCTCATCATCTTCCTCCTTATCCGCCCTCTCTTCCTCCTCCCTTGTCTCTTTCCGCCTTGTACTCGTTCCTCTGTCCCCCTCCTCCCTCCGACCCCCCCCCCTCCCGTGGGCGAGGATGCTTGACAGTTGGGGAAAGGGGACGAGGGAGGAGGAGGAGGAGGAGGAGGAGGAGGAGGAGGAGGAGGAGGAGAAGAGCTGGCTGTGTGCCTTGCAGAGGTCGGTGTTTGCCGAGGCCGACGATATGGTGTGCACTTGCTTCGTGTATTGCTACGCGCTGAGGCGCTGGAGTTACAGCGCTACGTTCTTGGCGCAATCGTGGTCCCGCCAGCGCAGGCAGTCCTCGCGTGGCAGCCAGGGAGAACTTGGCGGCAGACGCCCCGACTGAGACTGTGCTTGGTTGGCCACGGGTCGGGGTCGAGGCCGTATCTGCTGAGGCATATCGTTGGCCAGTTTGGCCGGAGCACATGCAATTTTTGGCGCGAGGGGGAGCATTTGTATGTTCGGGATGTTTTGTCGCTGCGTGGACCACAGCCGCAGGCATCGGTGGTGGGCATGTGCGCAGCGTGCGCCCGCCTGGACGTGTTTGCGGCCAGTGTCTGCGAGCGTTCCGGGGAGGCGACATCGGCGCGCCGCCTGGTGCCGCGAGCAGCTTTGATGTAGTCGGCGGTGCTGTGGTGGAGCACTGTAACACAATGAACGAGCTGGGTTCTGTGGCTGGCGAATATTGCTTTCCAGCCTCTGCTGGACCCCACCTGCGCCGCTATCGCTTCGCAGACTGGAAGTGGGCGATCGATTTCCACTGCTGATTTGAGCATTGGCCTCCCAGAGTTCGCAGCGAGGTTAGCGTAGCGTGTCTTGCCGGCGGCGTGCCTTTGGTAGGCGCCAGGGGGCATGTGCGTTATTCCTTTGGAGTATGTGTGTTCACGCGCGACGACGACCTTAGTCTAGCGTGACCGTGCGGACGCCATTGCCAAGAGCGTCGGTATCACCCCGTTGCACTTCAAGTGCAAGTGACTCGTCGTTCGACCAGTCGTCCGTGGACCAGAACGGCCGGGCGAACTGCCGCGCCTTTTTGGCGCAGTGGAACCGCGCAGCGGCCATGCCTACAAGCCGACGCGCGGAAGAGAAGTGGCTCCGCGAGCAGTTGGCGGCCCTGCCGGCGGTGGGCGGTGCACCTTATGCCGTTCTGCTCCCGGCGCGGTGGCCATCCCCTCTATGTCTGCAGTGGGCACCGTGGAGCCGGCGCCGCGTATTCCGCTGGCTGTGCGGGGTCGCGGAGGCTCGGTCCCCCTCGCCCCGTGCTCACTTGTCGGAGACTTGCACCAGCATGGGCCGCGTGGCGCCAGGAGGCGCCCAGTGAGAGCACTGCGGCGTCGACGCCCCAGCGTGGGCGGCATGCTCCCAGGGCTGTCTGTTCCCTTTTTTGGGGCGGGGCGAGGCCTGCAAGGCCATGGCTAGGTCAACCACTAGGTGTCGACCACTACGTCAAGTACGTCCTCGGTATCGAACCCGTGTGGTTGGGCCCCGCATCCGCGAAGTATGCCACGAAGGGCCTCGTATGCCTCCTCCCCCTCCTCTTTCCTCCTCCTCCTCCTCCTCCTCCTCCTCCTCCTCCTCCTCCTCCTCCTCCTCCTCCTCCCGTGTGGTTGTACCTTTTGACAAGTACGCCACGAAGGGCTACATCGACAGGGTCCCAGCCGGTCGAGGACACTCACGTACACACCGCATGACCTTCATCATGATGCCCCAACGGGGGCGCGCAGGCGTTCACGACGTCCGCCTGGACGAGCAATCTCTTCGACACCTCTGTGCCGCCGTTTTCGGCAACGGGCCATATTCTCCATCTTGGCTGCCAGAACTAAGCCACGCACAGAGGGGGGCGGGGGGAGGGGGGAGGGCTAGTTAGAAGCACCCCTGCTTCTTAGAAGGCGCGGGCCTTAATATAGATGTAAGGCCGGCGCCTTCTGAGAAGCAGCCTCCTTTAAGAAGCCTTCCACCCCTTGGTGCGCGTCGCCAAAGAAGGTACTCGTGCCATGGGATCGGGCCGACGCCTGCGGGATGGGCGGGTAATCCCTTCCCCGGTTAACGCTTTCTGCGTGGAGTCAGAGGCCTATAGGCGAGCATTTCTATTTCGTTGGCACCTTGGAGCAGTGCGTCTGCAAGAAGTCGCTGGTCCCTGAGTTCACATCTGCCCCACGGTCGACGTGTTTTTTGTTCCTTTCGGCGGCTGCGTGGCCGCTGGGTGTTCGTCTTTGGCCACCCGCGCCATGTTGGCTTGGACGGTATCTTCGCGGCGCCGGCAGCGGCATCATGGCAATGATGTTCATTTTCCGCCGCCCGTGGGGTCTTCGGCGCCGCCCCGCCCCCCGCCCCTGCCCCTGCCCCTGCGGCTTGCATCCCTGCCGTGTTTCCTTGCCCCTCCTGGCTGCCCCCTTCCTCGGCTGCGCCCACCAGCGCGCCCTTCCCTCGGGCCCCTGCGCCCCCTTGATAGGGGAACGACAAAGAGCATAAATGAAAAAACTCAGGTCCGCGCGGGTTTCTTGGATCGGCGCTGGGGCCCCCTGGCGGCGCCTCCGACGCCACCCCTGGCGCGCCCCGCGCGCCAGAAAAAGAGGTCCAGCACCGATCCTAGATATCCGCGCGGACATGAGAGTTTTTATGTTTATGCTATTATTCGTTCCCCTGTCCCTTCCCCGCTGCTGTGTCGTTGGCTCCCACCCTCGCCGGCTGCCAGCACCCCTACCGCTTTGCTGCCCGCCTCCGATCAGGATAAGGCAATCAAGCCGGAGGATCAAAGCCTGTGGACGCAGGTGTTGCCAGCACCAGACCCACGTTCCGTCCGTTGCAAGACTCTTCTGGGCCAGGCTGACTACTGACAGCGCGCATGCCGAAGGGGCAGGGGAACACTGCCCCAGCACGTGCGCACGCGAGAAACGTCCAGCCCCCGACCCTCACTACCTCAGCCTGGGTTCCAGGTTGCCTCCTCCTCCTGCTCCTCCTCCCCCTGCTCCCCTCTACTCCCCCTGCTACTCCCCCCTCCTCCGCCTCCTCCTCCTCATCCTCATCCTCATCCTCCTCCTCCTCCTCCTCCTCCTCCGCCTCCTCCTCCTCCTCCTCCTCCTCCTCCTCCTCCTCCTCCTCCTCCTCCTCCTCCTCCTCCTCCTCCTAGGTGGCGTGGCAGCGCGGCGCGGGACGCAGGCATTTTGCCCGCGGCGGGCGCGCGCCCGCGGAACCATAGCCCCCAGCCCCACGGAGGGGCGCAGAGCGCGGTCGCGCTCCCCCGCCTGGCACCGCAGGGAGCGGCGCCTGCGGGCAGACGCGAGGAGGCGGCTGCGGCGAGTGCAGGACGCCGAGCGCCTGGACGCGCACCACGGCAGCGCCGCGCCGAAGATGGTCAAGGGCGGGGCCAAAGCGGTCGCGGACAAGGCCTACGTGGTGTGCAAGGCCTGCGGCGAGTGGTGGTGGTGTTCACGCCTGGAGGCGATGCACTACCAGTGCACCTGCAGAGCTGCCCTGCCGAAGCCCAAGACGCCGAAGAAGTCGGACTGGGGCAGCAGCGGCAGCGGCGGCAGTGCAGGCGGCAGCAGCAGCGGCGGGCCCCAGCAGCAGAGCAGCACCAAGAGCATGCCGAAGGGCGCGGACAAGGTCTCGCACGCCCTGAAGCTGCTCACGGACACGCTGGGGGACCTCGACCTGTCCAATGGCGAGGCCATCTCGCGAACCCTGCAGGGAGCGGCAGCGGCGATCAAGGCAGCGGTGCCAGAGCCCCCGCCCAAGTCAAGGGCGCAGAGGCTGGGCATCGCGGCCGAGGCCCTGCAGGAGGCCAACCAGGCGTACTCGACGGCGCTCGCGGCCAAGAAGAGAGCGGACGCGGTTGCCCAGGAGGCGAGAGCCAAGCTCGACGTGAAGGCGGCAGCGGTGCTCAAGGCGGAGAGAGAGCTCGAGGTCATCCAGGCCGAGGGCCGCGACCCGCCAAAGGGCGTCCTGGAGCAGCTGGTCAGCGGCCAGGTGGGGGAGCTGGCAGCGGGCCAGCTTGCAGCCGACATCGAGCGCGAGCTGAACTTGACCGCGGCCGACCTGGACGAAGAGGGCCGCAAGCACGTGGAAGAGGCGAAGAAAACGGTCGTGGCTCAGATGAAGGAGAACGCCCAGACCTTCTCGACGCAGCTGAAGGAGCACCTGGCGGCGGCGAAGCTGAAGGCGGCGGAGCAGCAGGCCACGATCCACCAGGCAGCGAAGAAGAGGAAGGCTGAGGGAGGAGGCGCAGCAGAGCCCGCGCAGCAAGCGACGCCTGCTGCCGAGCCTCAGCAGCCAGCAGCCTCCCCCCCTGCGGCCCCGGCACCAACGGCTGGGACGCCACCGGCAGCGGGAGGAGGTGGCGCGGAGGCTGAGAAGTACCTCAGACAGCTGAGGGAACAGACAGGCGCAGGCAGCCCAGGGGGGGCAGCCGCGGCCTGAGGACAGGCGCGCGGAGCTCGGCGCAAAGGAGGCGGCGCTTCCGAGCCCCGCGAGCGCACACTGTTCTGCGCGAACCTCACCAGCTGGGGACCCACAGCCAGGCTGCGGATGGCCAAGCAGAAGCTCGGCCAGGGGCACGACGCCCACGCGTTCCAGGAGACGCACGTGGGCCGCTCAAACTTAGATTCCGTGGAGTGCGAACTTGTGAAGTTGGGATGCAAGGCGTGCTTCACGGCGGCGAGACCCAGGTCACGTTCCGAGAGGGGCACTTGCGGAGGGACGGCGGTTGTCATGAGGGGACACCTGCGGACCTCAAGTTTTCGGTGCCAGGCCAGGCAGACCACAGTCACGAAGGCGACGACCGA